ATTTTCTACTGAGAAATGCAATATTAGAAAATCTTTGATTTAGGAGAAGCATATCCGACAGTAGCATGCTGAGGAGTAGAAAGTTAATTTTCTAAAATTTCAACAGTACCAAGTCCATTGAAAACCACTCCCCAAAAACTTTTTTTTTCTTTTTTTACTTAAAATTTTTTTCAGTTACAGTTTACATTCAATATTACTTTGTATTAGATTTCTTTCAGAACTAACAATATTTTTGTTTTCCCTTTTCTTATAAACATTGTAGATTAAACTGTTAAGTATTAACTCCCTTTCCCTTTGATTCCCATTTTCAAATGGATAAATGAAGTGTTCTACAACACTGGTCATAGCCAGTTGGCCTAATAATTGAATGAGACGGTATAGTTACAAAGACCACTCCATAGATAGCATAGATCCCAGTGTAGTTGTCCTAGGGCAGTGATGGCGAACCTGTGACATGTGTGTCAGAGGTGACATGCGAACTCATTTTTTTGGTTGATTTTTCTTTGTTAAATGGCATTTAAATATATAAAATAAATATCAAAAATATAAGTCTTTGTTTTACTATGGTTGCAAATATCAAAAAATTTCTATATGTGACACGGCACCAGAGTTAAGTTAGGGTTTTTCAAAATGCTGGCACGCCGGGCTCAAAAGGTTCGCCATCACTGTCCTAGGGGGATCTTCTAATACAATACTGGGTTGCATTTGCAATGCTTTTTTATAACATTGAGCTAACAAAATCTAAAAATTCTAAAACTCTGCTTTCTCATGGTTAACATATATTTGCTTTCATACTTGTTTTTTCCACCCGAGAGGTTAAAGTTCTTAACACATTGCGGGCAGATCACGAGAATTCTCGTGTTTTCTGTTCTAAGGCTTGTGGCCAATCACGAGAATTCTTTAAAAAAGATATTAGCTTGTAAGAACATGTAATAAATAACTTCAAAATGCAATGGATATTTAATTTTAAAGCGTGCCTTTAACATTTATGTAAAAACGTTTTTTGTACTATTTCAATAGAAACTTATTTGGCCGCTGGGTAAAGCTGGCAATAAAACTACTGGTCTGCAATGTGTTAAGATACTCGTTTTATTATTGACTGAGACCTTGATTTTCAGCCATGTGGTTGATTTAAATGAAACTGTTAACGTCTTACTGACATTTAGACCCTCACTGTTGTCCTAGGGGCAATACAACCCTGGAGTGATAGGTGGCAAGTGTGTTATGAGGGCTCATGTGTTAGCTTACTTTTCCTGCATGGCTCTCTCAGTAAGAGGGATTGTGCAAGGCAAAGTGCCTCTTGGAAACTTGAGTTTGTACACCATCTACTTCTCAATGCCTGAGATTGTTAGCATAACATCTTTAAAAGTGCCATATCTAGTTAACCCGTGCCTCATCTCTCTCCACACTGACTGGAAACTTAGCCAACTTGCCCCCAGAATGTCAGAGTCATTCCATTGTTGCCTTACTTTCAACATAATATCCTGTCACCATGGCTTCGTTCCTTTATTTTCCTGCCTCCGAAACCTCATCCCAAGATTAAAATCTTGTAAGAACAGTTGTTTGCTCCCATATTAACCTTTGCTCGTGACATTTCTTCTGCCTGGAAAGTACCTTCATCCCACCTTTCCTTCCGGCTCACATCTAAATTGACAAGTTCTTTATCCAAACTTCTGTGATTCCTACCTCCCCTCACCTGAAGCTGAGCTTTCCCTCCTTTTAGCATCCATGGTATACTATGTCTGTTTATCTTTTGCCTAATTCATGAATATATTGTACATGAGCATTTGTCCTAATGTTACTGTCTTTAGTACTTTAAGTATATTTTTATTTCTATCCCCTACATGAAGTCATTTTCTAAAACGCCATCCTTCTGTAGCTTTCATCTTTGCAGACTGGTTTTTGGGTGGATTAGATTCTACTGTGTAACCTCAAATACACCAAGCCCTCAATCAGCCTTTTCTTGGCTTTCTTCCAAGCCAGAGCTGTCTTTAATATTCCCCGCCTTCTTGTGGTAGTCTTTCATCCAAGCAGCTAAAAGTAGGGGTTGGATCCTAAAACCACATTGATCCTTAAAAGTCAAAGAATTCCCTGCCTCTCTATCCCCTGAAATTATTTCTGACCCTATTCCTAAAATGCATTTATTAAAAACGGCATATCTGCTACAATTTTATACTTTTTGCTAGTGATTTAATATGTTGTTTTTAACAAATGAATTATTAATTGCTGTAAGATATATTTATTAAAATTCTGCAAAACTAAAATGAAGAGGAAATAACAATCCTGATCTGGTTTGATTTTTATTTTTTAGCTTTTCAATACACTCAAACACGGTCTAGGATTAATCAAAGCAGAGCAGATTACTGTTAAGTCTTAAATATTATACTTGTATCTTCTCTAGGATCCTTTCCCTAAATTTCTGTAGTTTCTGATTTTTCCCTACCCTTTGACTGAATCAGATTCTTTCTTTAGGAGCTGCTCATTGGTGGACTTCAGAAGAGCCTCTGTCTCTCTCAGTTCCCTTGAATTCCAATGGCTACCTTTTGAAAAATGGGAATGAACGTGCAATTTTAATGTTAAGAGCAAAGAGAAAACCGCAATGTGGTTACTCATTGTCAGATCAGATTAATAGAGCTGTGGGTTTTCTAAAGTTCCAATATCTCACAGAATAAAAATTCTGGAGCTGTGATTTCATACATAGAATACTCATGGCTTAATATTACTAGCAATCCTAGCTCTAATCCTTTATTGTTTGTAGGAAAGTGGTATAATGCATTTTTCTAGATGAAACTACCAAACTAACCATAAATTATATACTACCATCTAATTGTCAATGTAGTCAGTAGCATTGGAGTGGAAAATTTACTCATGAGTAAAGAGTGGGATAATAATACTCCCAGAACCACGGCTCTGTGTTTGGGGGGTGGGTGGGGGGCTGCACTGACTGAATCTCATCTTCAAAAGAGAAAGGGGGAGTGGGTAAGAATACGTGGAAGAGAGCACGGTGTGAGATAGTGAGGAAAAGCTTGAGATTTCCTGCTTTTATAAAACCCCAGCCCAATGACTTAAAAAATAGCTTTATGACATCAGACAAATTTAGCTTCTGAGCACGAGTCTCATCTGCACAGGATTGTTAGATGCCTAAGTGGCATAATAGTGTGAAGTACCTAATACCATGCCTTCTGTCTGGTCCTCATTTTTTATTTATTTAATTGTATTGTTTTATCATTTTTGTTTGTTTTCCCACGTGGGAGCATAGTAGGGTCTGCCAATCTTCTAGAGGTGTCTGCGGAGTTGTAGGCATTATTTTCTTTTGAAAGAGACCTTATATTGAAGCCCTGGTTGGAAAACTTGTTCAGTAAGATCAGGGCCTTCAGAGGTGAATTGTATGGGACACGGGGTGGGAAAGGGGGAAGAGCAGGTACTGTTTAAGAGCTGGTGGCATGGTCTGAATTATATTCTGTCTGTTTTTATCATGATCTAAATTTTTGCTTTCTCCCTTCCCTGGCATACTTTCACGAACACATATCACATATGCACACACACACACACACACACACACACACAGAGATAGAGAGAAAAAAGGAGAGAGCTGTCCTAGCTTTGATTTACAACCATAGTCGAAAGCAGCACTCGCCAACCGGTGGTCCACGGACCACTGGTGGTCCATGAGGTCCGAAAGGTTGGCGACCGCTGGTCTACAGCATTATTTTGTTTCTGAGTAAGTTAAATGTGCAGGAATTGCTGAACAAACTGAGAAATTTTTTTTAATATGATGCATAATGGGTTTGCCTTACAGCTAGCTGTGAAGTTGATATTGCTATATGTTTGTTAAATAAGTTAACAAGTTTTACATATATTTTTAGTCATCTTTTATCCTGGCTTAATGCACATGGGTTCTGATAAGTGACAATACTTTAACCTAGTCACTTATAAAATAACAAGGAAATATAAATTAAGAGAAGTTAAATGTGCTATTACTTACATACATTAAATTTTAGTTATTCAGTAACCAAATGTTTATTGAGTACCTACTATATGCCAGGCACTGTCATAGACAGAGAAAAAAATAAATGAATAAAACAGATACGACCTTTTGCTTTCAAACAATACTCAGTTGCTAAACCCATTTCCTTTTCTTTAGGGTATTTTCACTGTCTCTGAAGTTTAGAAGGAAAAGTGCCTTAGAGATCATCTAGTCTAGCCTCTTTGTTCAAATGGAGAATCTGAGCCTAAGATTCAGAGGAGAGTTAAGAGAATTTAGCAGACAATTTCAAGTAATGACAGCAAACTATAGGAAAATCGGCACAAATTGTGAGAATTCACTATATTGTTAGCATCGTAAGTATGAGTTTAGAAAAGCCAGAAATTATAAACTCAATTGTGTTTATAAATGGAAGATTCTATATTATCTCTAAGTTAAAATAGAGGATTTAAATGCCTTCTTTAGTGCTATAGTGAAACCAATTTGGTATTGTGTGGTGACTAAACACATAAATGTTTTTCTGCTTATAGACTCAAAAGTTTTAAAAGCATCTATATAGATGATGCTGTTTTTGATTGTCTGGGTAGTACTAATAGAAATAACATGCCTTCCTGCCTTGCTAGAATCATAGTTCACATCTGGAATTCAGACCCCTTATTTCAAGGATGAGAACATTGACTCCCAAAGAGGTCAATTTACTTGCCCAAATACGAGCCAAAAGTAACAGCTTATATTTAAGCAAGGAATCATGTTTTGCCTATTAAGATCATTATATTTTTATATTCAGATAAAATTATTCTCAACTTTAACTGATATAATATTAATATCAGAACTGCTGAACAGTAACCCCATTTTTTTAAAATCTCAGAATATATCTGAGACATTGACAAAAGAAAAAAGAAGTCACAGATATTAGAACTGAGTCTCTTGGCATTATTTCTAATGATATATCTTTTATGCTAAAGACATTCAATATTCAATTGCTGGTCACAAATAATTTTTTCCCCTACAACAGGTATTGTCTTCTAAGAACCCTGAAGCAATGTCAGACATTGAGGGAAGCTCTCATTGCCGCAGGCAAAGAAATTATATGGCATGGGCGGACAAAAGAGGAACCCGCGCATTACTGCAGCATTTGTGAGGCAAGTGACTTGTTCTTCTCCACCCCTAGTTTTATAAAGCCTCTTAACTCTCCACTTTTTGTTTCTCTTTAGTTATTTTTAAAAATATATTGAAACTTTTATGTAATACATTTTACTGAAATTGTAATTGTATTTAAAATCTTATTTTCTTGTAACAGCTATTAAAATTTAATCTGATGGTATACTATTTAATCTGATAGTATACTATTTTACTAACTGTGGATTAACTCACAGTATCTACTACAGAGTCATTTATATAATAGATATTTAACAGATAATAATCATCAAGAAGTGTAGGCTTGGAATTTTGAACTGTGAACAATCCAGAAGCAGACAGATGCCAATAAACTGGATGTAGTTCAGTATCGCTACAGGCAGGTCAATGTTAAGTCCTCTCTGGTACAGTTCACAATACATTGGCCAGTCTGCTGAAGCCAAGGCTTGCAAGAGATGCAGAAATGAAGAAGATAGGGCACCTGAAGGAGCTCCCATTCTGCTCAAAGAAGACAAATTATGAACAACTAATTGTAATGTACATGAGACT